GTTTCTGGTTCACTGACAACCTCACTTGTTGTTTCTGGTTCACTGATAGTTTCACTTGTTGTTTCTGGTTCACTAATAGTTTCACTTGTTGTTTCTGGTTCACTGGCAGTTTCACTTGTTGTTTCTGTTTCACTTATAGTTTCACTTGTTGCTTCTGGTTCACTTACAGTTTCACTTGTTGTTTCTGGTTCACTTACAGTTTCACTTGTTGTTTCTGGTTCACTCGATGTTTCTTGGTTACTGACTGCGCCAGTAGTTGTCTCTGGTTCCCCCGTGGGTTCACCCGTCACATACAGTTCACTGGGTGTGCTATCCCATGATTGTTTATAGTTGGTAGTCCCTAGACCTACTTGTGCTGTAGTGTAAACGATAGTTGAGTCCTCTGATTGCTGTGCGGGCCAGTTTGTGGGCGCTGCGGCTGCTGAATGAAAATAATATTATCTTCTTTAGCACCTTTAATGCAAGATTTAATGCGTTCCTCAGTCAAGAAGTACACATAGATATGAACATCAGAAATGTGTATTTGGATCATTATTCTTGACACGGTTCATGAATTCAAATGTGGTCTAGCTCACTTTTTTATTTTTATTTCAGAGTTGAATAGATTGCAACACACTGGCGTCTGTGGTTAGGTCACATTCAGAAGACCCGACTTCGATTACGGTGAGGGGAGTATCTTAATCAAGTAATAATATTATTATTCAGTCTAAAGGCTGGGACGCTGTATCTCTCTCGGCCGAGCTGGCCAAGATAGGCAGGGATGGAGCTCGCCTTCTAAATGATCTAATTTGTCGATGTGGACGCAGACACATACACAAAAGATAGATTTTAACAATTGTGGATTAGAAAGCTGTTAGGATGTATGTAATGAATAATAACAGTTTGCAAATCTGTAAATCTAATAAGTGCATTTGAGGGTGAAGGATACTCATCGACATTTAGACTTATAAAAGCTTTAACCAGTAGCATATTGTTCCGTCTTGTTGACGTATTAGAAATTAAAAAGCAAAATTACTTTGCAGCAAAGATGGCACATTATTACATCCCCCTTCCACCCCACCCCCTGTTAAAAAAACAGTATTGAATGAACGTATTATTATGGTCAGTAGTGTCAAGTGATTAATGTTCACTAAACGTCAAGTAATTGAAGAAGTAGGTCAAACAAAAAAGAAAGCCGTTCTGTCTTCTCATAACGTTTAAGGTAGAGGTATGTACCAGTTATGTGGATTGCTGCAACCAAAGTCTCTTACAGTGGTGTCAAAAATTGGTGGCGCAACTTATCCTCAAATATCTCTTTAACGAGTGAATCAATGTCATCCATACTTTGCCCAACAGTTTGTATCAATTTGTCTCAACTTACTCATATTTATTTCTGACAACAATAGAAGTTAAATTTTTTAAAATGTTCTTCATAGACTTAATAAGATACTATATGTATAGCCGTCGCGTGGGAAATGAGATTTTTCACAGCACTTCCCGCTTCTGACGCACATTTTGCATACGTCACAGCTCACCAATGACACCTTTTAGTGGCAAAACTTGTAACGAGAAATACTATTATAGTGAACAATTTTTTTTGCACTAAAAGTTCTCAAAACATGCATTCAATAAACATAGTGTCACGATTAGAAAACGAAATGACGGACTTGCTTTTAAAAACGATATTACCCCAGCCGTACACATTTTAAAATCTGAAGAAACCACCCTCTTGGATTTTGTGAAAAAGCTGAAATGTTAGATGGCTTTAAAAATATTTGACAATAAGTTGCGCTACGAATTTTTAACTGCACTACAGAGCAAATACATTCACATTGATAATCAACCACTCTGTACATGTATGCGACACTTTTCAAAATGCCCCATAGCAGAGACTTACACTACAATGCAGTTAAAAATTCGTGGCGCAACTTATTGTCAGATACGAGGTATTTCCTTAACTATCGAGCATAAATTCTCCAGCTTTTGCACAATGATTTGGATCAGTTTGTCTTAAGAGACCGACATTTTTGTAAACAGCTGCAAGCTTTAGTCTAAAGAATTCCTAAATAAACACTAATTTTAAAAAATCCGAGTTGGTGGTTTCAACAGATTTAAAAAGGTTTACGCCCCATGAACTGGTATAATATTGCTTTATTAAAAGCGAGTATGTCCTTTGTACTAATAGTTGAACTATGCTTAATGAAGGCATGTTTTGATAAACTTTAGTGCAAAAAAAAGCGTTCACTATAAAATTAATTTTTGTAACAAGTTTTGTAACAAGAGTAACAAGTTTTGCCACTAAAGTGTGTAATTCTCGGCAGTGACCTAGGCCATATGCAAAATGTATGTGAGAAGCGGGAAGTACTGTGAAGGAAGTACCTCACAACTTTTGGGACTGTAACAGTAAATGAATAAGAGAGGGCAAACATATTGCTACAGACTTGCAAGACCAAGTACTCGGACAAAGGAATGTCAACGTGCCGCAAACAGAAGAAAAGCAAGATCAAAGTGTAATTTCGTCAAAATGTTTGATCTTTTATGCTGGGTGATCCAAGTGTTTGCAGTGCCGCCTTTATTTAATGCTCTGTAATTAGCATAAGGTCGATATTACCTATATGCCAGCAAACTATGATCACAAATTATGGCTTCTGCGTTAATATTTGATAATGATTAATTGTAAGCCAAAATTAAGGCTCCAATAACGTTTGATCAAGGCCAGTTTTGCACATAAAGAACCCAAGCTGATGACCCAAGGACACACTAATTGTCGACAAACTTTCAAACTGCAGGCTGAATACGGATGAATCGTGATGACGTTACGAAGGAAAGGTATCCGGAACTAAGGGTAAACACATCGATTCGGTATCCCTTTGTTGTGTATTGAAACTGGGGCATCTCATTAATTCTTGTAGGGCAGATATTATGGTTTTGACTGACAGAAGTCGTTTTGAGGCTTCGATCAGACTGAGTACATAGCTTTTCTTACGCTTCTTGAAGCATTGTTTTTCTCTAGCAGTGTTCCCATCAGTGTCTGTGATTGCACGTAGAAGACATGAGCTCGATTCTCATGTGGGGAGAATTGATATCGTGTCTCAGTCCTTTTGCTGAGACCGTGTATCCTTCTCGACCCCGGCTGACTTTGCCATTCAGGGTCGTAGTCCGCTCGCTTCCTGAATGATTCAAATTGTGTTGTTGGGGGTTTAAAATACCGCCATTTAAAAAGAAACAAACAAGTTACAAGCAAAAAGTATCTAGTTCCCGCCAGTTTAGTACTTGTTCTTTCAAGGTGTGTAACATTTATTTCTGATTTAGCTTAAATGCTACTGTAGATACTCTTGGGGACATTTGAAAGTTCGTGGCCATTGCTTAGGATTTGGGAAGTATTAAAAATCTGTGTCACGATGTGGTGGAATCAGGCGCTCGTCAATTTTTGGGCATATTGAGTTATTGGAATCATCTCAAAGCATGTTCATTTGTCTTGTTTTCAATGAAAACATTACTCATCTATCTCCAATAGAAAAGGAGATATTTTGGACTGAAGCAGGTCGGGATCATCTGGTTTCAGAGGTAAAACTAGAGAGAAATTGGCTGACAAAGTTCGGTAACTTTCATAGCCTGAGAGATTTTGAAAACTGAAAATTTACATTTTTGGGTGTCTTTAATCAATGTTTTTAAGTAAAATCCACACAAAAATGAGTTTTGAAATAGGCATAAAAGGGGTTGAGCAAACTCCCCCCCCCCCACAAATAAACAGAAAATTAGAACAAAATTGTACATATGCCCAAAACATGCCGATTTCTTTCATTTCATTATTTTGACGAGCTCCTAATTTCACCACGATGCCTACGACAGAAGGGGAGTACCAGGTCGCTTTTAAGGACAAGCGGGCTAACCCAGATTTCGGGGTTTTCTAGAAACCTTGACCTACACCAAAAGTGGGCATTTCCCTACCTATAGGAGAAGTTTGGTTTCACTGGTGTGTATATTTGTTTGGATATATA